TTACTTATCATTTCATTCCTCTAAGATAATATAACAAAATGTAAAACCGCGTAAAGTTATGGGGAATAAAAAAAGAATTCTAAAAAACTTCATTTAATTATCGATTTTACATATTAATGTCATTATATATATATATATATATATATATATATATATATATAAACATAAACGAACATAGATGAATGAACAATGGTACAAAACCATTATTCATGTTTGTTCATTTAACTAAACGAACCAAAATAATGTGTTCATATTCATTCATTTATTAAATAAACGAATATGAACGAACTTTCAATCGAACGTTTCGTGAATGATTCGCTAAATGTTTGTTTTGTTTACGATCTAAAAAATAAAGAAGAAAGATTGATGTTTTTTGAGATGTCAGGTCACATTTATACATAAATTGATTAATATATCCTTCTGTGACGCGAATTGATGTGACTCACTTAATGGGAGGTTGATCGACATATGGAGGTGGGGGAATTAATATATGCATTATTCAAGACTTATGCCTTTATATACATAAATTGATTAATGTCTCATTCATATGGTTTGTTAAATTTCTAGTTTTCAATTTTTTATTAACCTGGATATCTAATCCATGATGCGAGCCAATTAATCTCAGAACGATCATCTATTTTGCATATAGTCCAGAGTCACTGTATTAATTTTAACTTCCGTGGCCACAAGGGGATTTTTATTCCTATTTAGATTTGAATTTGGGATCTTCTGGTACTTTTGACATTTAGAGTTCAAGTTCAAACCAATCAAGTACCACCCTTATGGTTTAGTTTTCATTTATTGACTTAATTTTTTGCAAATTATTTCTTCATGTTTGCATTTTGTTACCATGTTCTTCTGTCGCTCTTAGGAGCATATGTTAATTTCGTCATGTTAAGTGCCTCCATGTATCCTCACGTGATCCAAACAATCCTATCACGTCCTCGATCATCCAAACAATCCGATCTTGTTATTTGATTTTACACACACATATATACACAAGACCTATGGAAAACCCTTTTCTTTCACATTTTAAAATATAGCAAACAATTAAATACTATCTCAAATTAAATAGGGGTACTTTGAGCATCCAATTACCATTGGTTACTACGTAATTTAGGCATTAAAGTGTACATAATATATCTTATTAGGATTAGTGACGGGTAGGCGACAAATTAACACATTCCATCGCCAATCCCTCATTATTATTCGTCACCAATGCCCTTTCTCTAGTAGTGATTTATAACAGATTAAGTAAGTGACAAAGTAGTCGATAAATCACATTTGAATAATATATAAGTTTACATGTGTGTGCCTTGGGTAAACTGTAAATAGATTTTATATTATTTATTATTCAGATGTGAATATACTTTAATAAGTAATTGAATACATTTATTTTTGTAGTTAAATCACTTCATATTCACATGTTATTAGTAAATTTGCGTATTTGTTTAACCATCGCAGACTCCCACACAAACCACAAGTGCGTTGTGAGTCCGTGACTATTGATTTCTGGTTCTATCTGTACCGGAACCGCTCTTGCCTCTTTGGTATTTACACAAAGTTCAGGTTGGTGCTTCGATTTCTTCTAATGAATCGTTACCAAGCTTGTCGTAGCTCATCTTGCCTCTTCAATTAGGTTGTTGCCTTGATTTCCACTGGCTATATTCAATTCCTACACAAATTTCAGGTTGGTGCTTGATTTCTTCCATTGATCAATTTGCTGATTGCTTCAATTTCTTGCTATTTTTCGCCTCTATTCATGAACAGATTTCAATTTATGTTTGTTTACATTTCTTGATAATTATTTGCCTCTGAAACGCCACAATATGTAGCATCCAAGGAAAAACATCGCTTCCAAAGTTGTCTTAACAGCTCCATGCTGGTTTGCAGATCTGATACCATCGATCACGTCCTCCATCGTCTTGTAATCAGGAAAGGGGAAAGACCACTATGGCTCCAAAAACCGCCGGACCCCCGCAGTCAAACATCAAATGCCTTGAGGTTTCGGTATCTGACCCACATACCGGGCATAACGCTGAATCAATATCTATCTTCCTCTTCAATAAGTTATCTCGGGTTGGGATTCTATCAAGCATAACCCGTTACATAAAGATATTGACTCTAGGAGGAGTGATAGAGTTCCATACCGTCTCTTTTTCGCAGACCCCAATAATGCTTTCTCAATGATAAATCTCAAGGAACTCACTGAAAATAAACCATTGGCATTTAGAGACCAAGACTATCTTCTGTTAGGATTCTTGGACAGTGAACAATCTCCAATAGCCTCCCTCAATTGATCTAGATCCTCGGATTCTCTACCATCTCGGATGGGTCTTCGCCAAGACCGAGGGCTTTCCGTCTTAGTGCTATCAGCAACGGTTGCTTGCCTCTCATTTTCTAGAGCGAAAAGTCTAGGAAATAGAGAGGAAAACGGACAGGACCCTTCCAAAGTATCGGTCTAAAAAGCCGTATTAAGACCATTCCCGATCTGCTCAAACACAACTCGTCGAAATTAATGTGAAGAAGCCCAACGATCTCACTGCACCACCTACGGACTACATATGCTCGAATCCCCCGTTCCAAAGAAAAACCATAATTGACTCCATAAATTGATTTAATAATTTTCGCCCACGGGGGAGCTACGGTCGCTCTTAAATTTCCAGGGCCATTTTGCAAGAAGGGATAGATTAGAAGCGAAAATACTTCCAAGGCCACAACATTTTTCTTGTCTCTAAGCACGGTTCTCCGGTAAATCCAAGCCATTTTTCTGTTCTCTTTTTCCGATCCCCAAAAGAAGTCTCTTCTTAGTTTCTCCAATGAGCCGATCACCTTTTTGGGAGCTTTGAAAATCGAAAGGTAGTATGCTTGCGATGATACCGAGCACTGCTTAAGTCGATACCCATCTCCCTCCGAACTTTAGCGTTTTAACCTTCCATCTATTTAGTCTTTTTTGGAACCTCTCTATAATCGGATCCCACACTTCAGCCCTGGACATATTTGTACCCAACGGAACCCTGAGATATTTACTTGGAAATTTCCTAACCTTACAATTAAGTTCTCTAGCAGCTCTGTCGAAAACATTCTCTCCCACACCCACGTCGAAAAGATCGCCTTTAGCTAAATTTAAACGAAATCCCGAAGCGAAGAAGAAACATCTAAGAATACGTAATTATTTATTATCAGAACCGATCTCCAAACCTTTTATCAGCTTGATATTCTTGGCTTCCGTTATAAGCCCGTCAAGAACTTCCATGGCGGTGATGAAGAGAAAAGATGACAATGGATCCCCTTTGACGACTAGACAACTTTTTTTTTTTTATTAACCTGGATATCCAATCCGTGCTATGCGAACCGACTAATCCCAGTGCGACCACCTGCTTTACAGATAGCCCGGAGACCGGAGTCATCGCATTTGAACCTCCGTAACCATAAGAGAATTTTTATTCCTCATTGGATTTGAACCTGAAACCTCCTGATTTCGCTAAATGTAGAAGTATTTAAGTGTTTTGCTAATCTGTTTAATTGTTCTATCAGTTCGCTAGAAAAAAGGAGGATTTTTGAAAAAAAAGGTATCAATCGTTAAGCGCTAACCATGGTAAGAGTCTTCGTTCTTATTTACCGGGTAAGACTCTCGATTTTTGCCTTCGTTCTTACCGGATAAAAATTTTAGGGGCCGTTTACCAAACGTTTACCCGGATAAGAGCTTATCAAGTAACATTACCTCATCTGAAGAATATTGTAAGAATCAAGAATCTTATCCGGTAAGAGCGAGACAAAGGACATAATAAGTCTTACCCGGTAAGTAAGGACGACGACTCTTACTACGGTAAGCGCTTACCGGGTAAATTGTTGCATACGATGTCATTATGATGGACTAAAATCTTATCCGATAAGTAAATAATAGTGTTAAATTTTACCGGTAAACATTTTTCTGGTAAGTGTTTGGTAAACGGTCCCTTAGTCATTGTCATATTCATTCAATAAAGTAAAGTGACTTGGTAAGCAGTTATCCAGGTAGTCTCGTGTACCTTTTTCAACCTTACAGGACTTGATTAAAATTTATTTTCAATATTAACTTATACATTCATACTCCTTTTAAGAAAAAATTCATGTATTGATGGCATATCTTGAATAGCTTCACCTAACCCACCGACTTGCTTGTTCATTTGCTGCTTTTATAGTTTTATTCGTATATTTTGGCAATGTAAATTAAAAAAAATTATTTTGAAAAATCTGCTGACCAAATCTATATATATTCTCAAAATAAAAATAAAAATAAAAACAAAGTTATAATTATAATTTAGTTTTCCAAAATAATAATTTTTTTTTGGTTAACGCTAGATGTCTAGGTCAATATGTATGGATCTCGACTAATCACAGAAACCCTGGTATGGACTTGCAAAACTTGAACCGTTGATCTTTGAAAAAATTCCTCAAATACTCAAGCCTTATGTCAGTTAAGCTATACAACAATTAATGCGTAATAAATATTGGTTTTTCTAGAAATAATAATTATAAAAATTGGTTTCCTCAAATAAAAGAGAAAATAAATAAATGTCAACCACAAAGGTGGTGTTTAATTGGTTTGAGTTTGACTCCAAATGTTAAAAGTATCAGAAGGTCACAGGTTCAAATCCAAGGAGGAATAAAAATCCTCTTGTGCCCATGGAGGTTCAAATGCGGTGACTCCGGACTATATGCAAAGCAGATGGTCGTCCTGAGATTAGTCGGCTTGCATAGCGGGTTGGATATCCAAGTTAATAAAAAAAATAAAAATAAATAAATGTCAAGTTAATTTTATTTAAATGCAATATACACATTAGTAAGGATTTTTACCTTTCCCATATTAAAAATATAACTGTAAGTTCTGAGAACCAATCATTAATTCTGTACATCGATCTTTATAAAAAAAAACCCTTCATGCTTTGCATGCGAAAAGCGTCATTGTCATGAACTTGCTATAAATTGGGACTCATTCTTCAAGATGTAAGCACACCAGCAACAAAGCAAAAAAAAAAGCTAGTTATTCACCTCCTCTTCAACCCCCCTTCTAAATGGCTTCAAAAACCTACGAGGAGTTGCATGGGAGCAACAACTGGGATGGTCTTCTTGACCCCTTGAACCCAGACCTACGTACCCTTATTCTTGGCTATGGCGATCTTGCTTCAGCTGCTGAACGAGCATTGAATAACAACGAGGGCTCTAAGTACGCAGGCTACTGCCAGTACGGCAAGAGCTCCTTCTTCAAAGGAGTCATGCTCCCTTTGTCTGAATCAAAGTACACCGTCACTTCTTTCATCTACGCCACCGCTCATGTCGACTTTCCGCTTGCTTTTCTCATCCATGACAAGTCTCGTGAAAATAGTGAATTTGAATCAAACTGGATGGGGTATGTAGCAGTTTCCAACGATGAGTTCAGTAAGTCGATAGGCCGTCGCGAAATATGCGTGGTATGGCGTGGGACGGTCCGAACTTACGAGTGGATAAACGACATTAAAGACGCCGGGCCTGTGCCAGCTGACCCGCTGCTGCCTTCTGCAAATGGTAAGAGTATTACCAGCTTAATTGGTGCAGCAATAGACCAACCAAAAGTCATGGAAGGATGGCTTATAATTTATAACACCAGTAACCCAAATTCCACTTTGGTGAAAACAAGTGCTAGAACACAGCTCTTGGCACGAGTAAGAGAGTTACTGGTTAAGTACAAAGATGAAAAAATAAGCATAACGTGCGTTGGACACAGTCTTGGTGCAAGCCTAGCAACCGTATCTGCTTTTGACCTTGCAGCGAATGTTGCAACGCCTGATATCAAGGTATCGGCGTTTGTTTTCGCTTCTCCACAAGTGGGTAACCAGGCTTTCAAAAACAAGATGGAGGAACTACCCAACCTCAATGTATTGAGCATAAAAAATATCAATGATATCGTCCCTAAGTGGCCAAGCAAGATAATGGATTGGATTGACGAAAAAACTACTTTGGTGACGATACCAAAAGATGTGCTGTTGTACGTCGACGTTGGGATCGATATACTGATTGATAGCAAAAAGTCACCATTCTTCAAAGAGAAAGGTGGGTTGGATATCCTTCATGCTTTTGATTTCCATAACTTGGAGGGTATGTTGCACACTGTGGCCGGTTACGATGGGAAGGATCGAGAGTTTAATTGGAAATCAGTAGAGCAGAGGAGGAGTTTGGGTTTGGTGAACATGTCGGCTGATCTTCTGAAAGAGAAGTACCAGATACCTCAGTCATGGTGGGTTGAGAAGAACAAAGGAATGGTGCTTAATGAAAGTGGGGATTGGGTTTTATCACCTGTCGATCCAGATGATCATGATCTATTGCCTACCACTACTACTGTAATATACCAAGTTTGATGATGATGATGATCTACCATGTACGTACCTCTAGTAAGTTTGATGATAATATCAATAATCGTGGTAAAATAAATGATCTCTTTGATTTGTAATCAAAGATGTCACTGTGGTTATGTAAACCCATACGATAACTTGTTATAATTATGGGTTGTAATAATAATGKTTACTGTATTTGATATRAAGTTAGTKGTATCAYCGTTTTAGRGTTAAGTGCAAATTTGGTTTTTGTGATTTATATAAATTAACCATAAAGGTCTTTCTGAATTTGTTTTAACAAAAGGTATTTTTGTGGTTTCATTTTTATAACCCATATCGTTTTTTTTTTTTTTATCAACCTAGATATCCAACCCGCTATACGAGCCGATTAATCTCAACGTGACCACCTGCTTTGCTGATAACCCAGAGTCACCGCATTTGAACCTCCATGGCCACAAGAGGATTTTTATTCTTCCTTGTATTTGAACCTGGGACCTACTGGTACTTTTGACCTTTGGAGTCAAACACAAACCAATCAGACACCACCCTTGTGGTTCCATATCGTACTGCCATCAACTAAATTGCCATTAGTGAATGGGAGTTTTGGCTATTACTTTCACTTCTATAACATATTTGGTGTCTCTCTATCTTCTTTATTTTTGGATTTTGTCCCTCACTTTAATCAATAACATTTGATGGTATACATATTTTTTTCTAAATATAATGTGTAAAATAACTAAACAAACTACATCCATTGTGGGTATTAACCCAACCAAATTAACATGTCCATGTGCCTCAAATAGAGGACATTGAATTAATAAAAGAACCAACAAGCAAAAGAAACCGATTTCATCAAAGTAGGGTTATTGAAGCTTCGATCTTGCCATGGAACATTTAGATGGTGTTTATTTTTTCAAAAAAAAAACCCTCTTATTATCCTCTTTATCTCTTACCCGATAAGAGGTTTGGATATTAAGACAGTGTTTTATTTCCTGTTAAACCTCTTACCATCTTCTGATCCAACAAGTGGTAAGCCATCATGGACGGACCCAGGTTTGTGGTATAGGTGGCACATGCCAGCGTATTATTTCTAAAAAATTAGGTTTTGTAAACTATTCAACCATATTAATTTGTTGTGTGCCAACATATGTATTTTGAAACTACAACGAAAACAAGTTTTATTTGGTAGAATTGGTTTGCAATGCTTTTATTCCACCCCATACCCAAGTTCGAATCCTGTTAATGTCAATTTCTTAGTCAAATGGTGTCTTCTTTCATTTTGACCGGTGCTCTCTTCTCCTTTCTTTCTTTTGACCACTGCAATTCTCCTTATTTCTTTATTTCGCCGGCCAATCTCTACAATCCACCGTCATTCATCCCCCTTTAGCCACCGCATCGCAACTATCAGTTGCACTTCACCGTGCTTCTTCCTATTTTTAACACAACCACCATCTTGACCAGTATTCTTTTCTCCGCGAATTACTCCACCATAATGCCCCCTCTGTCGATCTCCGTCGTTGAGCAACCATCCCAGCTTTTCATCCCATGGAAGCATGAAAGCAGTGGCATTTAGGTTGGGGATTCTTTAAGAGGTGGATAAGATGATGGCTCACATGAACGGACCCAAAAAAAAAAATTGAAACGGTGGCACCATTTGATCATAAGAAAAAATATTGGGAAAACTTTCAAAAGTTGGTATTGTTTTACTATAAGAAACAAATTGAAACGGTGGCACCATTTGACTAAGAAATTGACATTAACATGATTCGAACTTAGGTGTGGGGTAGAATAAAAGCATTACAAACCAACTCTACCAAATAAAACTTGTTTTCGTTGTAATTTCAAAATACATATGTTGGCACACAACAAATTAATATGGTTGCATCGTTTACAAAACCTAATTTTTTAGAAATAATACGCTGACATGTGCCACCTATACCACAAACCTGGGTCCGTCCATGATGGCTTACCACTTGTTGGATCAGAAGATGGTAAGAGGTTTAACACGAAATAAAACATTGTCTTAATATCCAAACCTCTTATCGGGTAAGAGATAAAGAGGACAATAAGAGGGTTTTTAAAAAATAAATAAATAAACACCATCTAAATGTTCCATGGCAAGATGTAAGCTTCAATAACCCTACTTTGATGAAATCGGTTTCTTTTGCTTGTTGGTTCTTTTATTAATTCAATGTCCTCTATTTGAGGCACATGGACATGTTAATTTGGTTGGGTTAATACCCACAATGGATGTAGTTTGTTTAGTTATTTTACACATTATATTTAGAAAAAGATATGTATACCATCAAATGTTATTGATTAAAGTGAGAGACAAAATCCAAAAATAAAGAAGATAGAGAGACACCAAATCTATATATATATTAAAGGAAGAATCAAGAGTATTATGGTGACATCATGAGGATTAAGTATTGAAATGTTGGTGAATTGTGGTTGATTTTGAGATATCCCACATTGGTGAAGAGTTGAAAGATTTGAATAAGATGAAGTGTATAAGTAAGGTGGATTGGATGTCTTTGTGTCAAATAATGGTGTTTGCCTCATAGGGTTGTCTTTCTTTTGATGACTCTCT